CATATGATGAAAAGCTGTCAAAATTGCCTTGAGCTATTACACGCATTATATTACATGTTACTTGTTAGACGCTTTTATCAAAATTGACATACTCAATACTGTGGGCAATCCCCACAGGAGCAATTTGGGGTGAAGTGTCTTGCCCAGGGACACAACGACATGCTGACTGCAGTGGGGTTTGAACCTGTGACACCCTGATACCAACACCAAGGCTCTATCCACTGTGCCACACGCCTCCACACCAGCACTAACTTATTTTAAAATAAGGCTAACCCATATTATTTTTTTCCCAAAAGCTTTGACTTGTTCCCTATATGGGGGGATGAGTAGGCTTTTCAGTGTTAGTTTATAAGTGTAGTTTTGTGGGTATAACCAGTTTAGCACCAGGTGCCATTTTGTCCCTGATATTACTATCTGCACAACAAGTTAGAATCCCAACAATGTCTGCATTTCTCTTGTTTTTGGTCTTTCAATCTGCCCTGACTTATTTACATCACTGCTGAAAAACCCATTAAACAGTCAAAGAGACAGTCAAGTCAAGTAGTGCCTGTACTGCATGTGCTGCTCATTTCACACCACCGCAATGCACACACTGGAGCCTCAGCAAAGAGTACGATCCCACGATAATGAGCTAATTATAGGTACAACATTTCTGCTTCCGTATCTAAATGTTTCTCTCTAATAGGAAACATTTCAAATTATTGAGAGGCAGAGAGAGAAAGAGAAGGATAATTGATGCAAGCAATTACAAGTCCTGTGTCGGAGCAAATTGGCCAGCATATCTGGACATGTAGGGGGACTGCGACCTCATTTACATCAGAGTGTCAGGAAATAATTGGAGAATGTACTGAGAAGGTGGGATTACATAAGCAGTTCACTTGGACAGTGAGATTCCTTCCAGACAAGAAGCTTATGGAAAGACTGTACGCTCCAGTCAAGGACAAAACATTATGTGCAGTCTCGGTATGCTCCAGCAAACTTAATCATAACAGTGATTTTAACAACAACAAATATACTTTATGACATTAGTCTGCTTCCAAAAGCTGTAATTTGAGTATTGGAAATGGTTTCACCACATGCACACAGGATTCTGAATAGGCTGTCCTGTTTTCAGTGGAAAGCCAGTAATAACTGAGTTCAGTTTTAGAGAGAATTTAGCTGTGTTTGGACTGAAACCGCTTCAAAAGCATGGGAAGACGATGTGCTTGACTTTTAACAATATCACTTCCAGATGTTTCATTACAAAACAACTTTCCAAGACCTCACCGCAAGAAAACCTTCTCGTGCGAGTGGAGCCAGGACACACGTATGGATTTCAGGAAACCACAATTTCACATTTTCATTTCAGTTGGAAAAACCAGCATGAAAAAAATGTCTGGAATAACACCAATCAAGTGTTATATGTATGTATTTATGTATGTATAAATATAATATGTATACAAATGCTGTCCAAAAGCATAGACAGCATTGCATCTGTTTCAATTTGACAGTTAGAATTGACTAAGTAGCAGCTACAGCACAATATAACAGTTTTGGCTGTCGATAAAAATGGCACTGAAATATAGCGGTGCATTCATTATAGTCTGCCTCTTGTGCCTCTCATCAGGCTGGCTAACACTGACTGGCGGGCTCTGACCCAGTACTCCGGAGCTTCTCTCTAATGGACCCACCTCTCATCAAGAGCCTTGGGTGAAAAAAAAAGGAGTAACATGCTGTTTACTCGCAATCCCGGGCCAGTAATTGCCAATTTATTTGATAGGCAGCTGGGTAATGATGGCATTTCACCCCTTGCCGCAGAGACTAAACGGGAGTGATTCATCCCAAGCTCCCTGCCCTCCCTGATCCAACAGACTCCCTCTGCTCAGGACTGCTGCCTGCATGAATGTCTGCCACCCAGACTGAAGGGGTGGGGTGTGGTGGGGGATGTGGGGGGGGTGGCTGCCATGTCGGCTTCAAACGAAACCCAAAAGGGAACCCAGCGCTTCAGAGAAAATGCTGCTAAGCCTGCCAATTTAGCTGGGGTTTGGGGTTGAGGCAAACACAGGCGAGCTGATGTGCCATTTGTAGGCCTTAATGAGCTGGCAGGACGGAGTGAGGAGGGAAGGCGAGCCGGAGAGAGGAGGCTGCCAGGCCTGACCTCCTCTGGCCTCCATCTCCCTGCCAGCCAGTGCCAGGTCGGCAAACTCGGTTCATCTGCTTCATCGGAGCGTGGTCGCTCCATGAGGGGAAGGGAGTGCTAGAGCAAATACCATTAGCGAACTGTTGGGTCTAATGAACAGTTCGGGTCAAAGCTCGCTCCAGTCTCACACCGCTCCCTGGTACTAACGACTGACTTAGATGCTTTATTTTTGTGTTTGCACTGTATGGGAGCGCCTCTGTGCAGCTGAACCACAGGAGCAGTACAGTTGCTTTGTGCCGTGTTACAATCACAACATTTCAGTGGAACAAGCACATTGACCTACAAAGAAGATAACATAACATTTAAAAGTCAACCAATGTTTTCTTTCATTATAATATAAAGGAATTTCAGTACTAAACAAAACTTTTTTATTTTCATCAATTTTCCTGTTGTCCTCCGCTGCAAAAGCTACGACTTGCACCTCTTGCAACATGTGAAGTGGGTTTTTACAGCAGAGCTGGAAGGGACTTGTTTAGAAACCTGTGGAGACCGGAGATGAAGCCGCACACAGTCGGACCGTACAAGGTGACATGGGGGTCTAAAAGTCGTTCCTCGTGCGGCCCAGCTTTCAGCAGCTCTACTGAATACATGCTCCATCTCCTGCAGGCTTTCTTGACCAGACGCAGCAGGGGGAACCAAAGCGGCCATTCCCTTCTATCCTCCAGATGTACGGAGTGGCTCAAAGCCAGCTCAGGTGGACGTGATTATAAAGGGGCGACAGATGTTTCCTGAGAACAAGTCTGCAGATGGGAAAATAGAGTTTCTGCTTGAGGAAACCTGACATTCTTCAAACAAATACCAGATTTATTTGGGAATTTAGGAAATGTTCCAATCAAATAAATCACAGTAACACATGGGACTGTGGCTGTTAATTATATTCAATGTAGTGAACCATTTCACATACAATGTTCAAATTGAAATAAGATGAAGTGAAGCAACATGCATAGACCATAACATGATGTAACTGTTTAGTGTGTAACAAGTCAGAGTGTATCAAAGCGATGTAATGTGAATGGCAGGAAATGTTTCGCCAGTGAGGATTAGTGAGATTGTGACTGTTGCAAATTAAAGCAAAAGATTATGTAATTTTAAACACTGAATAAAGATTTAAACTGAAGCAGAGGCCTCTAAAACATATTAGAATATATGCAAACAGATGAATACTTGCATGGCCCTTTAGGATAACACCACTTGAAATAAAAAATGTTTGTGCCAACTGTCTTAAGGTAAAGAAAAATGTTTGCAACTATAAAATGCATTAACCTACAATTCTTTGCAAAAAATAAAAACATTTAGGAACAATTTGACAATTATCAAACTGTATTTCAGTGTTGCATAAGCCCTATGTTGTTGTAATAGCATTTAGTTATTAGAGATCAGGATGCAACAGATGACGCATTGAATGCTTTTATCAATGTGTATGGCAGTCACGTTAAAGCATCCATACATGTACATAGGTTAAATGTCAAACCTGCATTGTTGAAGCAACATTTGTCATGGTACTGTATACTGCTGCACAGTTGCCAACAGTGCAGTCAGACAGAAATCACGAGTATCATTTCAATTTCTGTTGTCAACATCAAATTACTTATTTCATTTCATGCCCAGTCAAGCATCGTAAAGCTACACGCAGAATCCGTTTTGCTTCAGTTGTTCGACCATGTCTTTCTCAAAGACTTGCGCGCCTCTTAACTGACAGCTTTAATTACGGCCAGATATCTGATTGCTTCACTCTAGATTCTCCACACAAATCAAAGAGAAGGGGCCAGGAGTCCCTCGAGCCTGCACGCTTTACATCCTGAATATGTCACAGGGCCAGGGGACACGTAGCCGCGCTCTTTCTTCTGTCAGCTAATGCTCACCTCCAGCTCCTCCACAAGAAACGAGGACCTGGGTAAGTAATAGAGCCTCTGGGAGGGGGGGGAGAGAGAGAATACAGTATGTATGTGTGTGTGTGTGTGTGTGTGTGTGTGTGTGTGTGTATGTGTGTGCGTGTGTGAATTGTATTGTTTCAACACCAAAAGAAATCCTGACCAATAGATGATATCACATCTATAACTTACCTTTTGTCTGTGACATTCCGCAGGTGCAAGGCCACATACACATAATGATTCTTGGATAATGAAACTGTAGTAGGATGTATAACATTTGCGCTGAAAGATCATGCACTGATTGACAATCCCAAGCTAATACTTTAAAGCATTAGCAGTAACTGTTACATGTAATGATGCAGAGGTGGTTTGACGTGAAGTTGAATGTGTACAAGTTTATTACATGAAGCTGTTGCTTGTTAAGGCCAATGTTGTGCAACAAGGGATTTAACTAATGAATACTCCAAGCAGATTACTTGCTAATGAATTGGGAGATAAATATTTACAATAATGCCATCTCTCTTTCCTATGTAAAAATACAACATGTTTACTTTTAACACATTGATTTTAACGCATGAAACATGTAACATTTGTTTGGACACTAGAACTTTAACCATTACCTTTACTTTTCAGGCCAACTTGTTCTGCCCTAGAGATATGTTTTGTATGTTCAAATTCTTTGGGAGTTTGACCACTGCATGTAAATGTAAAATCAACTTTGGAGAGGTTAGTTGGTAAACGTTTGGCCCAGAATTGTTGTATAATTATGAAGTATGTTTCTTTTGTGTGGTATATATTTGAAATGTAAATCCTAACTATGTACACAAAATGACCAACTGGCAATGACCTCAGATATTTGATTTTGGCATTATTTCTAAGAAGATGACTCACTACAAACACAGGACCTCAGCTGCCACTGAAGCAGTACTTTTAAGTGTTAATGTACTCACATCTGTCAGCCTGTCTCTGGAGCTGCTCCTGATGGAAGGCTTGGACCTTCCGCTTACACTCTCGCTGTCGCTGCCCTTACAGTTGTTCTGCCCCGGTTTCAGCTGCCAAACATAACACACAATGACAGCAAGGGTTAACAACATGAAGCAAAAGTGGTTACACTGCAGTTTAGAGCTTAACATGTATAACGCTGGCGCAGGGATGGCGTCACACAGGAATCGGCTCATGAATATGTGTGAACTGGCAGGAGCCGCCGTGCTGTCTCTGTAAATCTGTCATGTTTCTGAGCCTATTCAGCAGCCATCACTCCGCTTGCCAATGATAGACGCCATCTGATCTCGCAGTAGGAGACTCCTCTCAGCCCACGAAATAGAGAACAGGGACAAAGACCCCTCCAGAACCTTCAAATGGAGCCTCTATCCTTTCCAAGCAGACACCACATGCCGAGGCAGCAGGAGCTCAGCAAGTGTCATCCTCTAGACGCTCTGTTGGAAATGCTGCAAAATTACAAGAATGAAAAAGAGGATGTGACAATCCGCACAGCATCTGAGGCCCTTCAAAATCTGTAGAACAATAAAAGACTCTTGGGAGTGCGGAGCTGAGTGGAAGGAGGAGGTGGGGTCTGTACTTCGTGGCCAAGTCTGCGATTTATGTCGTCTGAAGCTCCCAGGCTGCTCCTTCCAGACCAGACAAACACTGCAGGTTTCATTTCAAAGCTCATAAAAAGATGGCTTTATGGGACAGTGTAGTGAACGGCTGCTCTGCCAACTAATAGGAAAAGCAGATCCTGGCGCTGCACACACAAAGGACTTGGACTATAATATGATGGCATTCTCCTTTCCCCTCTACAGCTCTGGAGAGAAGTGACAGCGCTAGAGTATGTTTTTTTTTTTTACCTCTCATTCAGTATTCTCTTTTCAGGTATTGGCCATTATTTAGTGTGATGAAAGGGCACAAGTTGTGGGAATACCAAAAGAACCCTTGAGTTGAGTGGGTAATTAAAATTAAAATGTTCCCTTTTCTGTAGCCATTAGCGGTGTGAAAGGAATCCTATTCCTTGGGAGAATTGCATGATGGGTGGAAGGCGGGTGGATTCGCCAGAGTGTGAATGTGATAAGAGATTTTTGAGCACAGGGAATGCCTGATGGGCCTGTTTGTCTCTGCGTGTGCACATGTCTGAATATGTGTGTGTGCATCAGTGTGTGTCTATGTAGCCACGCACTGCTGAGACTAAAGCACACAAGGATCAAATGTGGCACGTGCACACACACATGGACACCAATGCCCTGCGCTGTGATAGCACTAATTATCTCCAACACATTTTATTCCCACACAAACCAGGGACACATTTCCTCTCTTTTTCTTGTAAATGCCAGTTTGTCTGAGGGGAGTTTACATCTTTTTGGAGAGAAAAGGGGAATAATATCTCATCCACCCTGGCCCGTGAACTGAAATGAAGAAAGAGCGAGGGAAGGTGTTTACTCCCCGGTCTGTGGCTCCTTCATCAAAACATGTTGACCTATAATATTTATTAACCAGGCTGTGTCCCTGCTGACAACACCGGGCAGCGCACACCAGCATTCTCATGCATTTATGAATGTGCTCACACACAAAAACACAGACCTTACTGAAAGCGGCGGCTGACTCCGGCATCACATGTATATATAATATATATATATACATATACACGATCCAAACCCCATATAGAGTAAGCTTATGAAGAATATAATAAGGCAAGTGTGGTAGAGATATGGAGATTTTATTAATCAACGTGGTATCAAACTGACTCTGCAGTAGTGAAACCGTATAATCACATCGTCTGTATCCTGGCTTATCAGTGGGAAAGTACTCCATGAAATCAGAAATCTTGCACAAATTTAAATCTGTGTAATGTCTGAAGAACATGTCTAATAAAGACATTCCAATAAAGAGCGGCTCATCTTTCAGGGCTATTACATAGCTCGGGACCTGATTACACAGCTATTTGAAAACGTATCCCTCGGCTTGTTCCTTTTAATTTCCCCTTGAGCTCCCTTAAATTACTTTGGAGAATTGTGTTTTTTTTTTCTTTTCTTCATCGCTCTCACTTTCGGAGTTTCACATGATGGATTCATTTCATTTTTTATGGTGTGATTAATGGATGTCTTCAACAAATGGAGGGAATGCCGGTGGTCAGTGCCATCAAAAAGTGAAGTTGATATTTAATGACCTGCTGTCTGATAATAAATGTAAATGAGAAGCCCATGTGTGGGTGCAGAGAGGGGGGCAGTCTTTGTGACCTTTGCTTTAATACCGCTGGTCAGATCATTCCAACTTCTTAATGCATTCAAGTCATTTTACTGTGTTTGTTTTTATAGCCTTTAAAACTTAGCTTCAGTTTCAGACACGTAATGAAACCCAATGCACTAGAGATCAAAGGCAGGGAGACGAGCCGTGTGTGTGTGTGTGTGTGTGTGTGTGTGTGTGTGTGTGTGTGTGTGTGTGTGTGTGTGTGTGTGTGTGTGTGTGTGTGTGTGTGTGGTGTGTGTGTGTGTGTGTGTGTGTGTGTGTGTGTGTGTGTGTGTGTGTGTGTGTGTGTGTGTGTGTGTGTGTGTGTGTGTGCACAGATGCCCCAGATTGGTGTGTGCTACTGCAATAGCATAAAGACATTAATTAAGACGCAGGTCGAGGCATACGGATGCATTTATTTAATGACCTAACTGTATCTGCGCAGCCCGGGTAAGAACTGGCCCTGCAGGAGGATAACAGACAGATGGTTTTAATATTCCAGAGGCTAATTTCACAACAATTAAAGACACAGCCAGACATTAGCGCCTAATGAAACATTTAAACTACTAGTAAGTGCATCTGCCATTAATTTCCACACAGTGAGGTCTTGTTTTCCTGCAATCTGTTCTGTGTTAAGGCATAACGTTTTTTTTTCCCTGTCTCTCTTACCAGTCTGAATTCACTGAAGTAGAGCATCAACAACTGTTTTCAATCAGCAGTCAGCGTGAGGCTTTGCAAGAGAGCAGCCGAAACCTCAGCATGAAACAGTTCAGCCCGCAAGTACGAGACATCATTTAACGTTTCTTATAAATCATTCTTTGAAAGAAATATAAATGCTTGATCTTAAGTTACTAGAAACTATTCAATTACTGAACTGCCATACTTTATTTGAATAGTGCAGTGGTGACATCTGAACGTCCCCGAACAATTACAATGCATCCGTTATGTCTGAGTTTCCAGTGATACTCAAAACCGAGTTAAACAGAGTCATTACTAGTCAGTATTTAAAGGGGACCTATCATGCAAAATGCACTTTTGTGCGTCTTTTATACATGAATATGTGTCCCCGGTGTTCCAGGGAACTCACCAAGTGTCAGAAAACACAACGCTCACTATTTTCCTCCATACCCAAATCTCTAAAAAAGGGGCTGCAACGGATCTGATAAAAACTGATCCAGATTTGAACACTGTCCTGACGTCAGGACGGTGGCGCTACGGCTATTGGGCCAACTCTCCACCTATCAGGGGAATGTGGGGTTGGGCCACGGCCGGCCATTGCCGCTCGAAAGCGCTGGAGACGCTGTAGTACATATGCCAGGCCTGTAAGTGGCGCTGTAGTCTGCCACAAAAGCAGCGAAGAAGACTTCCCGCCCATAGTTACCATGGTTACCCTTCTGTTTATTCTCCGCTGTGGCTTTTTTTCTCCCTCCCCGAGGCAAGCGTTTGCTCCTGCTGCTTTAATTCAATGCAATCCCTCCCCGTCGAGGCAAGCACTGTAATTCTCTCCGGTTAGTCCACCAGCAGATGACAAACACCCACCTCTCCGCCTCTTCCAAGGAACGAGGGGACCGTGCGGCAGAGTTTCAGTTTCAGTTTCTTTCGGCGGTCAAGATGTCTGTTAAAGTTTAAATCTTCCGGACAAAATTAGAAAAGTGCCGGTCAAAGGTCTTCTTTGTTATTTATTGAGCTTTAAAACAAATGAATAACGACTCTATATAATAATATAATAAAACACGGAGGACGGAGATCTCTTTTTCTCCCCCTCTTCTGACAGCCCAGCAGCTGATCAGAGCACGTCTCCCCTCTCCTGCAGGGGGGCGTGGTCAGCAGAATCAGACCCGTAGACAGCAAACAGCACATAGAGCGAAATGAGGCATGGCTAAAATGCATGATCTGTTTGGTATTTTGAAAACAGAAATGTATAAATATACCTTATATAGGTATGGCCCTACAATATATCATTTAAATATAGCATGATAGGTCCACTTTAAATTTGAATGCAGAAGTACACTAAGCACCTAGATATATCCACTAGTTTATGTACAAAGATGTCTCTTTAAGTTTGACTTTTTGTGATAACACAAGACAAAACATTTGCCAAGTTCTTGTTAATGAAGTATACTTCTTATACTACTTATATTGTCGAGTACACAAAATAAACAAAAGCTTTGCAGTTGGAATGCAATATAATCTCAATTTGACGTCATACTGTATGAAATGTACATTAACATGCTAATCCCAACGAAACCTAACACTATAAATCCATATTATCTAAAAGAAAACAGGCACCAAATAATAAACCTCAATCTATTTAAATACAAATAAGCTGTCATAGACTTCCTTTCCAGTAATGTGTCAGTAGGTTTTATTTCTTGAAAGGCCTTGACCAAAGCTAGGTTCCTCCTGTGAAACTGTATATTCACTATTACATTCTCCACACTCCTGATTTTTAATTATTCCTCACATAAATGAGGAATAACAGTAGGACCTCTCTTTTCAACATGTCTTTAAAGGTCTGCCTGAAAGAAATAGATAATAAACAGCAACCTCACAGCAGCATTATTGATACTGCCAAATGAAATACCAAAGGTGCTATTGAATGTCATAAACGCTGTCTACCAAAGCTCAAGAAGCCCCTCTTGATAATACAAGAAATGTCATTAAAGAAAAAAATCAATATGGAATATTTTCATTTCAGTTTCTGTGGTGAATGGCAGCAGAGAGGTAATTGTGTTATGCAGCCACTAAAACACAACTCAGAATACACACTACAGTACGTCCCCAGATCAGAGAGCAGATACATTATGAAATATCTCATTTAAATGGTTTTCCC